TTATTTTGTGTATCATTTTCCAGTCACGGTATTGTGTCCTTTTTTTTGTTATTTACACAGGAACATCCCTGAGGGGTGAATGAACCCTTCTGACATATTGGAATAAAAGATTTTATTAGGATTATGAACCCGGGAGGGTTTTTTTTGTAATTCATAACTAAGCGCTAAAACCATATGGGTCATACAGCCCTGGAGGGTTTAGTAAACCAGCATAATCCAATAAAGGATGACGTCATCGGAGACTGTCGGTCTTATGTCCAATGGAATTTTAATCTTTGGCTTAGTTTTCAAGTTAAAAGCATGACTAACTTTTATTGCATTTATTAACTAGATAGTCCAATTTACATACATATACCACTTTATGTAAAAACAACCACAGTGAAAGATAGAGAAATTCAAAGAGCCTACGTGACTTTCTACATTATTTATTTTTATTTTGACATGTTACATAGGTTTGTACAAGAAAATATAGTGATTTGAGTGTTAACATGCCAAAAAGCCCCTTGTATGCAGAGCATTTATGGGCAGGCTTAAAAGTAACTTAAGTTTACCTAAGCAATGATGTATTCAGTGGTAAAACTATAGTTAAACAAAACTTGTAGCATTAACATATGTATAATATAATCCGATCATATGAATAATATGAATGATTTGTATTGCAGAAAATGTCATATGGTCATTAGATGAGTTACTGAGCATTTAAAGAGGAATGGTGTATTCTATTAAGGTAATGTAATTAAAAAAGCATAGTTGATAGGGTCACTGTTATACATTTATGAGATACCGTTATTCAGTATTTGGTGGCCTGGTGGCTAAGCTCCCGTTCACACGGAGGGCACCGGTTCGATTCCCGGCGGGTGAAAATTTCGACACGTTTCCTAACACTATTGTCCTCGTCACCTAGCAGCAAATAGGTACCTGGGTATTAGTCGACTGGTGTGGGTCGCATCCTGGGGGACAAGATTGAGGCCCCAATGGAAAATAAGTTAGACAGTCCTAGAGATGACGCACTGACTTTCTTGGGTTAATCCCTGGTGGCTACCCTCCGGGGGTAAAAAATCCGAACGAAAAATCTTATCTTATCTTTAGTTGTGGGTGAGTAAGTGGTTTTAAGACGTCTTGAATGATAACAGACAGTGTTTCTTTTATTCTTCACAGGTTAATGAATTCAGATTTTTGGGCCTTTTATGTGAATTGAGGTTTTTACATAGTGTGAGATGGACATGGAGGAACATCAAAGAGTGAGCTGTGCTTTGTGTATGCGTATGTGTTCTGTTGTGGTTGGTAAGGAGACGTTTGTGGGGAGGGGTTTTATATCAAAGTTTAGATGTTTACTGGAGTTTAACCTATGGAGAGAGTTCCGGGGGTCAACGCCCCCGCGGCCCGGTCTGACAGGCCTCCTGGTGGATCAGAGCTGTATCCACCCTGTTTTCCAACACAACACCACATTATTATCACGCAACCAAACGTACGAGCCCAGCCCGGGCAGGTCAGGAAACCGGACTTTAGGGCTTGTCCAGTGCCAGCTGAAAGACTGCCAGGGGTCTGTTGTAATCCCCCTTATGTATGCTGGGAGGCATTTGAACAGTCTCGGGCCCCTTACAAATTATTGTATGGTCTTTAACGTGCTAGTGACACCTGCTTTTCATTGGGGGGATGTGCCATTCCCCGTCTGCCAAGTCTTTGCTTTCGTAGTGAGGATTTTCGTGTGCAAGTTCGGTACTAGTCATCTAGGATTTTTCCAGTGTATATAATCATGTATCTCTCCCGTCTGCGTTCCAGGGAATACAGGCTTCAGGAACCTCAAGCGCTCCCAGTAATTGAGGTGTTTTTTATCTCCGTTATGCGCGCGTGGAGGTTCTCTGTAAATTTTCTAGGTCAGCAATTTCAATCTGCCTTGAAAAGGGCCTGTTAGTGTGCACAATATTCCAGCCTAGATAGAACAAGTGGTACCTGAGAGTGTCATCATGGGCTTGGCCTCCCTAGTTTGAAGGTTCTCATTATCCATCCTGTCATTTTTCTAGCAGATGCGATTGATACAATGTTATGGTCCTTGAAGGTGAGATCCTCCGACATGATCACTCCCAGGTCTTTGACATTGGTGTTCGCTCTATTTTGTGGCCAGAATTTGTTTTGTACTCTGATGAAGATTTAATTTCCTCGTGTTTACCATATCTGAGTAATTGAAATTTCTCATCGTTGAACTTCATATTGTTTTCTGCAGCCCACTGAAAGATTCGGTTGATGTCCGCCTGGAGCCTTGCAGTGTCTGCAATAGAAGACACTGTCATGTAGATTCGGGTGTCATCTGCAAAGGAAGACACGGTGCTGTGGCTGACATCCTTGTCTAGTCGGATATGAGGATGAGGAACAAGATGGGAGTGAGTACTGTGCCTTGTGGAACAGAGCTTTTCACCGTAGCTGCCTCGGACTTTACTCTGTTGATGACTACTCTCTGTGTTCTGTTAGTGAGGAAATTATAGATCCATCGACCGACTTTTCCTATTATCCCTTTAACACGCATTTTGTGCGCTATTACGCCATGGTCACACTTGTCGAAGGCTTTTGCAAAGTCTGTATATATTACATCTGCATTCTTTTTATCTTCTAGTGCATTTAGGACCTTGTCGTAGTGATCCAATAGTTGAGACAGACAGGAGCGACCTGTTCTAAACCCATGTTGCCCTGGGTTGTGTAACTGATGGGTTTCTAGATGGGTGGTGATCTTGCTTCTTAGGACCCTTTCAAAGATTTTTATGATATGGGATGTTAGTGCTATCGGTCTGTAGTTCTTTGCTGTTGCTTTACTGCCCCCTTTGTGGAGTGGGGCTATGTCTGTTGTTTTAGTAAACTGTGGGACGACCCCCGTGTCCATGCTCCTCTCCATAGGTGGAAAAGGCTCGTGATAGGGGCTTCTTGCAGTTCTTGATGAACATGGAGTTCCATGAGTCTGGCCCTGGGGCAGAATGCATGGCATGTCATTTATCGCCTGTTCGAAGTCATTTGGCATCAGGATAACATCGGATAGCTTGTGTTAAATTTGTAGACTTTCTGTAAATTTTAAATTTAAAATAATTATTACCCTTAATAATATAAACATCTAGAAAAGGCATTGAGTTATTTTCTAAAAGCCATAAATGAAAACGAAAGAAACCCAAAGTATTCTTCTCCTATGCCAAATCAAAGTCGAGAACAACATCCAGTATTGGGCCCCTACTTAAACAAATGGGTCCACACAGATACGCA